TTATTATTATTAGTATTATTATTATTATTATTATTATTATTATTATTATTATTATCCTTATTATTATTATTATTATTATTATTATTATTATTATTATTCTTATTATTATTATTATTATTATTATTATTATTATTATTATTAATATTATTATTATTATTATTAGCATTAGCATTAGCATTAGCATTAGCATTAGTATTAATATTAGTATTAGTATTAGGATTAGTATAGCATTAGCATTGCATTAGTATTAGCATTAGCATTAGCATTAGCATTAGTATATATTTGTATTTGTATTGATATTAGCATTAGCATTCACATTAGCATTAAGATTAGTAACTCACACGTGATGTAGTATAATTTTTTTTTTAATTTCTTAATATTCTAGGTGATTTGTGTTTCTGTAGGTTTTTCACTAATTGCATTTGAACAATAGAAAATGTGCACTTTACTCGCAAGGTAGTAGATGAGTTATAGACGATGTCAATGTATATGGTGTAAAACGCTACTTCGATAATTAAGTTTTCTGTTAAGGATCTGAGTGTACTGGACGAGATAGTTATACCATTTATGTCACATAATGTATCTTATTTTTTATATCACAATTTTAGTACTTTATATTTTTTTTTATCATTTATTTTGTGTATCTCGGTACTTAAATCAAATGGTATTGTTATGATTTTTAATTTTTTTAGATTATACTATATTATATATCAACTATTCAAAGTTTTCGTTCAATTATTTTATCTGAAAATACATTTTTATTTTTTTATATTAACTCACGCATCGCATTAGCATCCCCTTTTCATTCATAAATATGTTTGATTTATATTATCGACATGTTTTAGTCACTAAAAAATTGAACTTAGAATTAATCCCCGTGCATCGCACGGGTGAGTTACTAGTTTGTTATAGGAAAAAGAAATGCATAATAATAATATTAGTAGTTGTAATAATAATAATAATAATAATAATAATAATAATAAAATCCTTCAAGTTGCGATGTGAAAAGTTGACATTTGACAAATATGAACCCAACTATATAAAGTAGTGTGAATAAAATCATAGATAATAATTCACATAACGGAAAATAAAACAGCTGTAAATTACAAAGACAAATCATAACGATGAAGAAAAAAAATACCATGTATGAATTTATTTATTTATTTATAATTACAGATCGAAACTAAAATAATTGAATAATGAATTGTCAGTTGGTGATTTAATTATTTAAATTAATTATAAAAAGCGTATAATAGCAAAAAATTCCACTTGATAATAACCTTTTGTGCGCCTGATGTTTTGTTGGAGTCTAATTTGATGCAGTCAATTTTGTCTCAACATTAGGAAGACTATCTTACATTTTTATTTTATTTTTATATATTCTTTTATTTTATTTTTACCGGTCTCAGTATTTTTCTCCATACCCATGAAAAAAAAAATGCAGCAGCTTTTCACTGAACTTAATCCAATCGTTTCCCGATGATTGTAGCTTCTCCACCTCCGGCTAGAGCTTTCTACCTCAGAACGAGTTCCGGCGGCGGCGGCGGCTCACGCCTCGTTATCTGATTTCTGCGGGCGAAAGTATCTCAGGCGATCATGATTAGGGCTAAAAGTCCGGTCTCTGTTATCCTCTTTACAATCATCGTGCTCTGTTCCTTCTGCCCTAGAATTTGCAGGGCACAGGGCAACAGTACTTGCGAAATTGGAAGGTGTGGGGCGTTTGGGAGCTGCAACGCGCAGGATTCGCCAATTTGTACTTGTTTGCAAGGGTTTTACCCGCGGGAAAATCAGGAATGGGGGTCTGGGAACTGGACCGGTGGGTGTTTGAGGAGGGTTCCGTTGAGCTGTGAATCGAATAATGGTACAACCAATGGCGGCGGAGGAGCGGATGGGTTTTTGAAGCTTCAGATGATGAAGCTCTCCGGCTATTCGGACCGGTGGGTTGGCCCGGCGAGTCAGTGCGAAGGTCGATGCTTGACGAATTGCTCGTGCATAGCATATGGGTTCGACACTGGCATCGGATGTATGTTCTGGAGAGGAACCTTAATCGACGTTCAGAAATTTTCCAGCGGCTCTGGCTCAGATTTTTATATTCGTGTGGCGAATTCTGAATTAGGTAAATTTCATTTCTCTGTTCAATACAAATTACTGTTTTATGATTACTTGATCTTTCCTTCTATTTTGAGCTGTGCTTCTTACTATTGTTTAGATATTACAACTTTTGAAATTACCGATGTGGTTGTTAATTTTGTCTCAGAGAGTAAGAAAAGCTCCAAGAAGATCGTAATAATTCTGGTTGTAGTTGGCTTAGTTCTGCTATTAGTTTGCTCGTATTTTTCGTGGAGATGGATGGCTAAGCGCAGAGGTAAATATTGTTCATTTAATCCATTGAAATAAGTATATTTATATGAAGATTGAACTTAATATGCATTTCCTTGTCAATTAGTCAAGAAAAGAGCAAGTAAGATTGCAATGACGGGTGCATCAGGTTCAGTCGATCCCGCTCTTCAAATTACATTAAGTCAAGTTAATCTCGAAGAGTTGCCGTTGTTTAAACTCGAGATCCTTGTAAACGCCACCGGCAATTTCTCCGAGCCTAACGAGCTTGGGAAGGGGGGTTTCGGACCTGTTTACAAAGTAATCTCTCTTCTTTTTATTTTTATTTTTATTTTAGGTTATGTAATGTATCTATCACATTTGTTGATTATGAAGTTGTGCAACTATAGGGAGACTTGGGTGATGGAAGACAAATTGCAGTTAAGAGGCTTTCGAAAGCATCTGGACAAGGGATGCAAGAATTTACGAACGAAGTGGTGCTAATTTCTAAACTCCAACACAGGAATCTTGTTAGACTACTTGGCTGCTGTGTGGAGAGCAAAGAGACGATGCTGGTATACGAATACATGCCTAATAAAAGCTTGGACTTTTACCTATTCGGTAAGTTCAAGTTTCCTACTCTGTTTTATCAATGCCAAACGTTGCTGTCAAATTAGATTTCGGATTAAAATTCTTTGATCTTCTCTGTGAATTCATTTTGTGTAGATCCATCACAGGAAATCCTCGATTGGAGAAAGCGTTTCAACATTATTGAAGGTATATGTCGAGGTCTCCTTTATCTCCACAGAGACTCCAGATTGAAGATAATCCATAGAGATCTCAAGCCGAGTAACATATTACTCGATAATGATTGGAACCCTAAAATATCGGACTTTGGCATGGCCAGAATATATGGAACTAAGCAAGATCATGTCAGCACTGTAAGAGTCGTCGGAACATAGTAAGTATATATATGTCTCAGTGAACCAACCGTGCCATATATATACACGACTTTTTATTCAAGCTAATACGATTATTCTTGCAGTGGATATATGGCTCCGGAATATGCAATGGAAGGAAGATTTTCGGAGAAATCCGATGTGTTTAGCTTCGGAGTTTTAATGCTAGAGATTGCAACTGGGAGAAGGAACACGAGTTTCCTCTATCAAGAAGGCTCTTTGAACCTCTTGGGACATGTTAGTCAACTTTTAAACCCTCCAATTTCATATTAATTAATTATGGATCAAATCATTTATTATTAAAAAATCATTTTCGAAACTGAAAGGTATGGAAACTGTGGAACGAAGACAAAATTGGGGCTTTGATAGATCCGAGGATATCAAGTTCGGGATACTCGTCAGAAATTATGAGGTGCATGCATATCGGGTTATTGTGCGTGCAAGAACTTCCGAAAGACAGGCCTTCGGTTTCGGCAGTGCTGTCAATGCTGAGCAGTGAAACTGTAGAGCTGTATGAGCCAAAGCAAGCTGCGTTTTCTGTGAAGTCGGTTAGGTCGGAAACGGCCGGTACGGGTTCTTCCCAGCAGAGCCAAAGCAGTTGCTCGACGAATAATGTTACTATAACCATGGTTGATGGTCGGTGATCATGCTGCTACGGTGCGGTAGAATCTCTGCTACATGTAAAAGAAGAAAATCTATAGTGAATTGAATTAGGTGTGAAGTAATATTGAAACAGCAACAGGTGACATTCAATGTTAATTTTAATTTTAATTTTTTTTCTGGTAGCATGCATGTGCAATGTTATTCAGTACATTAAATCTGAATTGCAGTATCAATTTGTACAATCTCATTCCACCGGTCACTGCCAGCTTGGCACTTCTGCATTTATTCTTCTTAAGTATAACAGAACTACCACTTGTCTGTACACATATGGATTCCCTGGAATGCAAACATTAGTTCATATTTTTAGAGAATTTATGTTTTTAAGTAAAGTTTAGTTTATAAATATTTATTTCTTTATTTGTGATATTGATTATGAATTTATACTCTAAATGAAAAAATCGAAAATATATGTCCGAATAAACAAATATAATATTAATACTATTCTTGTATTGTTAGTACCTGTACGTTTGAATCTTGAATGTATTTATTTACTTGCTACTTAGTGGGTGGTGCGGTACATATGAATATGATGACGACGGAATGAAAACGAAAATCATTCCTAAGAGAAGAAGGTTAGAATTTTCAACTCTAACTAATTAATCACCATCTGGGCCGGGGGTAATAAATAATAATTAGTAGTACCACTCTGTGCATTAATAATAGTACTCACTACTCACTGCATTTACATTTATGTGTATCTATCTTCATCCACACACATATTTTCTTGTATATATATATATCAATGTAAGAACCCTAAAACACATATATTCCACAAGAACAAAAAATATTAGGCAACTAAAATAACTGAAAATGCACCGAAGGTGGCGTCGGCACACAAAAGTGATCACCTCATCATCAAAATTTGCAGTGGGGCTGGAAATGCATTGTGAGAAGAAGAAGAAGAAGACGACGCCGGACATAGAGAAAATGGCTAGGGAAAATGCGGTGGTTATATTCAGCCAGAGCACGTGCTGCCTCTGCCACGCCGTTAAGAGGCTCTTCTCCGGCATGGGGGTTAGTCCCATGGTCCACGAGCTTGACGAACATCCCAAAGGCAAGCAGCTTTACAGGGCCTTGATGCGTCTCGTCATGACCACCACCGCCGCTGCTGCTACTGGATCCGCCGCCGCCGCCGTGCCGGTGGTCTTCATCGGCGGCAATCTGGTTGGTGGGATAGATGCTGTTCTGGCTTCCCATATTAATGGAACCCTTACTCCCCTTCTCAAACAGGCTGGTGCTATTTGGCTTTGACGACCTTCGTTCTTCTCGTTTTAATTATTTAATATTTAATAATTAATCATATAGTAATTATTATGATTAAATTGCGGAAAAAGACCCATAATCTTCTTTCATTCGGTGGTTTACTACTAGATGATCATGAATGACATATGTAGTCTTCTTAAATAATAGTCGTTTTTCAATTTCTTTTAGTAATCGTCTCTTGATTTTATGAAATATGTATTAAAAATACTAAAATAACCTTAATTATTTAATCACGTGACAAACAAGAGATATGAAACATTTTTTTCTTTCTAAAATGACAGTTATAGTGGAACGAATAGAGTATTAATTAGTTATTTAAATTAATTGGATAGGTTGAGAAATTATTGGGATCTCTCTAATTTAGAGTGTTATTACTTACTATTATTAAACTCATATTAAAATAGAATAAAATTTGAACTCCAAAATCTAGTCTTCGTGCTTGAATCAAGAAATGCCCAAAATAGTAACTACATACATTACCTTCTTCTGATATTTAGATTCTACAGTCTTTGTACGATGAGAATTGGCCCACGTGGCATACCATTAATCACCGTTCATTTGAAAGAGTTAACTCTAACCGTTTAAAATATTGCCCACAAACACGTGCAAAACAAGTAAAAATTTAATGCTAATATTAAAAATGGAAAATGGCAAAGGGGTTTACTATTATAGTGCAATTTTTTCCGGTTACAGTGCAAAATAATTCATTTGTCAAAAAATCCTTTAACATTATTCGAAATCCTCTCAACCTTCGAATTTTAAAACTTACCAAATCGTCAAATTTGTCCGATAATATCATTTAGAACACAATAATTATCAAGAAGTATGAAACCTAATTCGATTTTGAGATTAAAAAATGTGTTTTTTGTCGATTTTCGACATTTTTATGAATTTCGTGTTCTGTTGCACGAAATGAAACATTCCATTTCGTGCAATACAACACGAAACGCTTTATTTTTCAGAATTTTGTATTATTTCGTGTAAATTTACATGAAATGCAAGCTTGCATTTCGTGTAAATTTACGTGAAATACAAGCTTGCATTTCGTGTAAATTTACAGGAAATGCAAGCTTGCATTTCGTGTAAATTTCCAGGAAATGCAACGTGAAATCACTATTTTTTTTAATTACTCCACTTTTAACACTCAAATAAATACAAGAGAATAACAACAAACTTAAAATGAAATTCAAATACTAAATAAACTAAAATTCAAATGTAAATACAAATTAAAATAAACCTATATTTCGTAAACTACGTACCATACTTTAATATAATAACGATATACATAAATCCATAAGACATTGCATAGAATTCAATCTACTTAGTATGGTCCGTAGTTTACGAAATATAGGTTTATTTTGATTTGTATTTACATTTGAATTTCAGTCTAGGGGCAATTTTTTTTTGGGGTTGTTTTGTTTTGGAGTTTTTAAAATGGGGTTATTTTTGAAGTAGTAATTAAATTGGTGTTGGCCGCCACCGGGAACGGCGGCATCGGACGGAGACGCCACCGCCGGTGGCGGCTCCGGGAGGAGACGCCGCCACCAGTGGCGTCTTCTACTTTTTAAATTATTATTTTAATAATTTAATATTTTAATACTTTAATATTTTAATATATTTTAATATTTTGTTATTTTATTATTTTAATATTTTAATATTTTTTTAATATTTTAATATTTTCTGATTTTTTAATTTTTTTTTACAAACTAAAATCAATTTCAAACTTCATTCTATTAAATTTATGACATTTTATCCATTTATTTTTTTTCCATTTTTTTCAATTATTGTTTAATTATATCAGTTCTTTTTATTTTATCTAAT